CTATACTACTATATACACACAGCATAATACTCCACTATACTACTATACACTCACAGCATAATACTCCACTATACTACTATACACACACAGCATAATACTCCACAATACTACTATATACACACACACAACATAATACTCCACTATACTACGATATACACACAACATGATACTCCACTGTACTATTATATACACACAGCATAATACTCTACTATACTACTATATACACACACACACACACACACACACAACATAATACTCCACTATACTACTATATACACATACACACACACACACACACAACATAATACTCCACTATACTATAGACACACAACATAATACTCCACAATACTACTATATACACACACAACATAATACTCCACTATACTACGATATACACACAACATAATACTCCACTGTACTATTATATACACACAGCATAATACTCTACTATACTACTATATACACACACACACAACATAATACTCTACTATACTACTATATACACACACACACATGATACTCCACTATACTACTATATACACACACACACACACACACACACACACACCATGATACTCCACTATACTACCATATATATAGTATACAGTAACAGTACCAGCGGTGGATGTCCACCATACTACTAAATATATATAACATATTACTACGCTATATATAGATATATATAGTACTAGTACCAGCGGCGGATGTGTTGGCCTCCCCTGAAGCTGCGTCACTCTGAGCCTCCGGCTGCCCTGAAACTGCTCGGCTGGTGGACGGAGTCTCAGGAGGAACGTCTGAGGAGAGACGGACGGTCGGCCATTAAAACAGGAAACCTCCCAAAATGTCTTTATTATCATATCAATTCTTGAGTTATGACCTCTGCCCTCTTCCTTATTATTGTGATTAATGTTTGTTATTATTGTGATTATCAATATACTCTGAATTGATCAATCGAGAAAATATCTGTCAGTGTTTGGTTTTTAAAAATGACAATGAAAGTTGACTATCAAAGAAAAAAAAATATTTGTTAGGAAAATACCTCGAAACAATTAATGAAATGTCAAAAGATGCGCTTTAAAGATATTTCATATGCACTAATTAAGCGACTTTATTTCACACACGGTCGTACAAATAAACCTAAAATTAATATATAATAAATATTTCTATAGTTCAGCTATTCCCAAACTGTGTCGCACGATTTTTATACGTGTATATAGTGAAGATAGATGTCTTATGTAAGATAATACATAATATATGTATTATGTATTATATAATACATTATTAATACTTTTATTAGATAAAAGAATCTAATAACTACCTATTTTAACTCTAAACATTTATTTTTTGAAGCACGAAACCAACAAACATGGATTGAAGACGAATATTTCGTTGATAAAAACAAGAATTCTGACATTAATCTTTTATATTTTCAATGAATGGTGACTTTTTGGATTTTGAAACACTCTAGTAAATGTTTGTAATCTGATTCTGGTAGTGTTAGTGGAGAGAAGTACTGGTTGATTCATGATGAAAATGTTAAAGAGGTTCAGTACTGGCTGCAGGAGGGGGGGTGACGCTGGGCTCCAGATCCCTCTCCGTTTGGGTCTCGGCGTTCTGCAGCTGGATGATTGGCGTCTGGGTTCCCTGTGATGTCACTGAGGGGGCGGGGTGTCGGGGCTGGAGACCAATGGCGTTCATCAAGCCCATGTCTCTGTCCAGCCTCCAGCCGGAGCGGTTCGGACTAAAGAACAATAAAGAAGTTTGTTAGAACACAAACTAACACTAGAAACACTCAGTACTCTAACTAATAAATACTACAAACACTCAGTACTCTAACCAACACGACAAACACTCAGTACTCTAACACGACAAACACTCAGTACTCTAACTAGGAGCGTTGTATAGACTGTTACAGTCGATACTGTCACTATTCAGCACATCTGCACTTCTGTTACATCATCATCTGTTATCTCTCTGAACCTCAAAGAAGTTTTCAGGCGTTTTTGTTTTTGTCTCCGGTCACAGTTTCCTCTGTGTGGTCTTGATTTGCAAAATAATAGTCCTGCTCCTCTATGGAAACAGAACCATCATGACTAGAAGTAGAGAACTAGAACATGTCTTCAGTGCAGAATAACAGTTATGATGACATCAAAAGAACAATGTTGAATTTCTTTGATTATTTATTTTACAAATATTGGCAAACGATGGAATCTAAATATCCAACATTGTTCTAAAAAGCTTCCTGTAGTTCAGTCAGAGTGTCTCTGATTTGTTGTCACATGACTGTTGGTCTCAGATGAATCAATCATGACTTCATAGTTTCACTGAGGAGCTCACACTTTAATGTTTTCACACAATCTGGTTAAAGTGAACGCTTTATTCTAAATGAGAACATGTAGAATAAAATGTTCTTGATGAAATAATCACTATTTAAAGCTTAGTTTTGGTTTCTTTTCTCTAACTGAAGCACTTGTCACGTGATGTGTTCAAGGGCCATCAGAAAGATGAAAATCTGATGACAACGTGTGTTTTTACAGCTTCTAGCTCTGATAAACGCTGCAGTTTTGTCGAGTGTTTAAAGAAGACATGCTTCTTAAATCCCTCCGGAGGGTTTTTGTGGTTCAGAGGAAACATTTCAGAATAAAAGTATCTCTGTTGAGTCCACATGTTCTCACCCTGATCTCTCAGAACTTCGGGTCCGGCTGGTTCCACTGTTGTTGACGGAGAACAAAGGTTCGCTGCTCGACTCCGCAGGGCTCTCACCATCACTACGGTAGAACCTACACGCGCACACGCACACACTTATTAATCCACTCAGGAAGCTATAAACAGAGGAGGGACGTCGTCTTCGTGGAATCACAGAGACACCGAGCTCGTTAAAAAGCACTAATTGACCACCTCCTCCTCCTCCAATCAGCTCCTTCCTGTTCACATCCACCATTAAGATAATGTGATCAGAGGAGCTGAAGGGAAACCCGACAGAACAGAGGACGACATCTGCTCCTAATGCAAGAGCTTCTTCCTTTCACTTAGTGTCAGAGAGAGAACCAGACGAGCAGGTTAGACTGTCGGCTTATTGATGACTGATATGACTGAGATTATATATATATATATATATATATATATATATATAATATATACAGTTGTGTGAAAAAGTGTTTGCCCCCTTCCTGATTTCTTATTT